GTGCCTTGGGGTTCGAAGGATCTTGAACCTAAACTCTAAACCCCTAAGCCCTAAACCCTTAGGCTTCACTGGTGTTCGTGGGTGAAGGCAGGCGTACGCACACTCTAAGTGAAGGGGACTGCTGGCATCATCTGGCATCTGCTGTTGAATCACATTTTTCTAGTTGAGGATTGGGGGGGGAAGGGCCGCTGTTGATTTTCCATGGGGAGTGTAGCTGACTTCCCTTCCCAAGGCTTTCGTGGTAGACTTAAGAGTTTAGGGCTTAGGGGGACTTTGGATGACGGTATAGAAGCCTGACTATGTGCCATTCGTGTCCCTGTATCGGGGTGGGGAGTGTTGGTTCTAGACTCCTCGTTCTTCAGGGTAGGGTTTAGGGTTTAGGGTTTAGGGTTTAGGGTTTAGGGTTTAGGGTTTAGGGTTTAGGGTTTAGGGTAAGAGTGCACGTCAAGCAGAGTCGAAATGTTGTCGGTTAGATCCGGAATCATGGGCCCTACCTCAGCCCTAAACCTAAACCCCACCCCCTAAACCCTCAACCATACTCATAATCGCCGTAGCATTCAGCGGTGGCTGGCTCTCTGATTTGGGGATGAGGGTTCGGGTTCTGGCTGCGGCTGGGGGAGGGCACAAGTGTGTAGGCAATTAGGGTTGTTCGTAGGTGCTCAAACGTAAAGCGTAAGGTTTAGGATGCAGGGTTGTGTGTACGGGTTGATCTTGATTCTTTGCCTGAACATGTGGCTCCGGAGGGGATCCCCCCTCCCCCTACATGAAATAAGCCCGAAACCATATAAACTCTAAGCTTCAAAGCCCTACACTTTGAACCTCACCGCCCTAAACCCTAAACCCTAAACCCTAAACCCTCATGCAACCCTTGAAGGAACCCCCAGCCCCAAACCCTCATGGAACCCTTAAAGGAACCCTGAAAGGATCCTTTAAAGAAAGGAAGCCGTGCAGGAGCCCTCAAAGGAAGCCTTAAAGGAAGCAATCAACGATATCCCTTGAAGGAACCCTCAAAGAAACCCTTAAAGGAACCCTTGAAGGAAACCTTAAAGTTAGGATTTAGGGTTTAGGGTTTAGGGTTTAGGGAGCCCTTGAATGAAAGGAACCCTTATATAAGGGAAACCTAAAAAGGAAACCTGAAAGGAGCCCTTAAAGGACAGGAACCCTTATATAAGGGAAACCTGAAAAAGAAGCCTTAAAGGAGCCCTTAAAGGAAAGGAACCCTTATATAAGGGAAACCTGAAAAGGAAACCTTAAGGCAGCCCTTAAAGGAAAGGAATCCTGAAAGGAACCCTTGAAGGAAACCCTAGGATTATATAAGGAAAACCTGAAAGGAAGCCTGAAAGGAAACCTTAAAGGAACCCTTAAAGGACCCCTTAAAGGAACCCTTAAAGGACCCCTTAAAGGAACCCTTAAAGGAAGCCTGAAAGGAGCAATGAGCCTCCTCCGAAGAGTTGGTTGGACACCATGGCGGCTACAGGGAGCTGAGAAAGTGAAAGAATTGGGGCCAAACCCTGTATCAGAACTCAATGTCGTTTACTATAGTATATATTATAGTATTATAGTATATGATAGTATTCTAGTATATTATAGTATTCTAGTATATTATATAGTATATTATATAGTATATTATAATATATTATAGTATATTATAGTATATTATAGTATATGTTACAGTACGCTCAAAACAGAGGAAGAAGAACGAGGACTCCGGCACCCCCCACGTGCCCTTTAAGGAAGCCCTGATGATGCTCCGTAGTAGTGGGAGTTGGGGGTCTACCTATAGTCTCCACTGTAGTTCCTTTTTTGGGGTTTAACCTATATTACTATATTGAGGATCCTAAAAGGTAACCCTTAAAAGGAACTACAATCGAGACTAGAGGTGAGAAAAGCCCTAGTTCTGTCTGAGTATTTTTGTCCTTACAACGTTGGGCTTTCGCTGGCTTATGCTTGTCCTGACTCAGGGGCTGTGGTTGGTTTACCTATGTTTACCTCTTCCTTTTATAACCTTAAACCCTAAACCCTAAACCCGAAACCCTAAACCCTAAACCCAATGAGTCTACTGGTCTGGGCATGGCTTGGGGGTTTTGGACTTTGAGGCAGGGTAGGACAGTCACTTGCTGATGGCATTTGGGGTTTTGGGTTTAGGGTTCAGGGCGTTTGGGGTTTGGGTATGTGTCAGATCGCCAGTTAACACCAGAGCTTGTGAGAGGAGCGGCAAAAATGTGCTGAAATGAGATTGCAAGTTGTCCACATGACGCTTGTGACCAGCACACCTGTAAGAGTCTAAAGGTCACGGTACGTACTATGCGCGTTACGGGTCAAACCATCTTGTACATTGGTAATAACACGATTCGGCTGCTGATTCTTTATAAAGCTATACGTCCGTTGCTGGGCCCACGAACCGGAGACATACAGGTTTGGGGTCTACTGGGCGGTTTTGGCACCATCAGTGTTGCCGTCATTGTAACAATGATGCCTGTAAAAAAGTAGAGGAGGGCCCGGATCTCCGATTTCGGAGGGGTTTTCGGTCCAGGCTTTGTGTTAGAGTCTAGAGTGGGGCTTAGGATTTCGGTTTCTAATTATGTGTTGAGAGGTCTGGGCTCCGGAGGATCTTACCCAAAGCAGCTGGAAAGAGGCAATGGCAGTAGCATAGCGGGTACACTCCGCTCTGTCAATGTACTCTTTGCATTTTCAGGTCACTTCTGTAAACCGCGATCGCCACAACAAGGCTGTTGCATATCTTCCAGTAATTCATTGAGAGCCCTACTTGGAGGCCCGGGGGACTTAGTAAGTAGGTTATAAGTAGACTTATAAGTACCCTAAGTGGAGTTACCCTAATTATAACTCTACTTACAACCGGCTTACTAAGTCCCCCGGGCCTCTAAGTAGGGGATACTATAACTACAGGCTCAACCATTACGTGGCCTTCGGAGCCGTAGGAACTTAAACGCCGCAATAAGTTCAACAGCTTTCCTTTCGGGGTTCGTCTAGGCTTTGGGGTTCAGGGTTTTTAGGGTTTAGGGTTTAGGGTAAAGGGTTTAGGGTATCGGGTTTAGGGTTTTAGGGTTCAGGGACCAACCCTAAACCCTAAACCCTAAACCCTAAACCGTAGCAAGTAGATCGGTGCATTTTTTGAGCAGCGCTCGGTAACCGCTACAGGCGCAGGCAGCGATGGCGGACTGGAAGCTGATCCTGGGCTCGGGTGATGGAAGTGCAAGACTCAAAGGGTTTAGGGTTTAGGGGTTTAGGATTTAGGATTTAGGGTTTAGGGTTTAGGATTTAGGATTTAGGGTTTAGGGTTTAGGGTTTAGGGTTGTCTACCCTCTCAGTTCAAGATTACATGGTTCTGGTTTGGTAGAGGAAGTTTCACTTTGCGCAACCTCAACACCCACAAGATAAAGGATGCTACCAAAAGAGGGGCACGCAAACGCACAGAAAACGCACACAAAAGACGACTTCTGCGCAGCTTCCACAGGCTTTTTCAGCCTCTTCTGGTGTCGAGGAATTGCCCTGATGGCTGAAAGTTGGCGAGACTGTTTCAGCGTTTCCAAGGCAAGCTTTACCTTTAATTACCCTCAAAGGACTCATATTTTGAGACTGTTAAGCCCAAAGACCCTATTGTAAAGGGCCTTTGGGCTATATTGAGCCTTAGGGTTATACCCATACCCTCAAAGGACGCATACTTTAAGGCTTTTGGGCCCAAAGACCCTATTATAAAAGGCTTTTGGGCTGTTTTGCTGCTACGGGTTAAGGTTGGGCGGAGAAGCTTGAATCAAGACCTACACAAAGAAAAGATGGTAGGGTCTTGGCATCTCAGCAAGGTCGAGTCTGTTTCTGGGTTCTTGTTAAAGGATTTGATTTAAGCTACCATAACAAAGAAACCCTGTTATTTACTATAGTTCCCATTCTGGTAACTTAATCTAAACGCATCACTAAACCGTAAACCCTAAACCCTATACCCAGGTGTTGGGGGGTGGATGCTTCCGAGGATAAGAAGTTGATCCGTTGGCCTTAAAAACAAAACCTACACCCGCAACTCCCAGGGCTGAACTTAGGGGTTTAAAATTTAGGGGTTTTGGGTTTAGGGTTTAATCCTGGTAACTATATAGACACACAGCCGCTTGAAACTTGTTCCGGGTAGCCTCCATAAGTGGTTACAGTGACTTCATTTAAGGGCTCCGCATGGGTCTTCTAGCGTGTTTGAAGTGAAGCGTAAGCTTAGAGCTTACAAATCTTGGGGGTTTAAGGATTCAGGTTCAGGGAGACTTGAAAAACATGCAAGACTTCTGCAACTTTAGCGGTCGTAACCCTCTAAGAGGTTACCTATAGTCTCCATTGTAGTTCCTTTTGGGTGTTACCTTTTAGGATCCTTAAAATAATATTGGTTAAACCAAAACGGAACTACAATAGAGACAACAGGTAGTGCTTATGGGTTCCTTTCAAGGGTTCCTTAAAGGGTTCTAAAGGGCTACTATGAATAAGGGTTTAGGGTTTAAAAATTAGAAAAAAGGTTTTGGGGCCCATTATACTATAACTTTAATAAGGATCCCCCAAAATAGTATAGGTAATTATTTAGGGCCCTATGTTACTGCATCAACTACATCTACTTGCGCAATCTCTTTCCCTCTCTGCCCAGGGTCCTCCGGATTACTTACATCATACATCCTGCAGCCTCGCTCGCAAAACCACAAGGTCTGATGTCGTCACGTGGAGCTCAAGCCTGCCTTGGTTCTCTTTCTGATCCCCGACAGCGATGCCATGGCCTTTCAGTTCGCGCAGGAGAAAATCTTGAACATCAGACGTCTGCCAAATCGGCCTTGACTTGCCCCAGCCTGTGATGATACAGCGGTTGTGCTTCTTGGAGCTAAGCCATGGTGACAAGACTTCCAGCAACCACCACCTCGCAGCCATCCATCCAGCTCCGGCAGACATGTCAGGTAAATCAAGAAGCGTAGGGCTCTTGTGGCGCAAGTTGCCACACCAGACTGTCGAGCCTGCTCTTAGGCTTGACCCTGTTCCGTGCGGCATGCTGCCGCCAACACGGCACTGTAGCTGATGGCATCAGCTTCCACCTTGGATTTGCGCATGCTGTCGAACAGATGCACCGCCAGCTGCCACTGCCCACCCTTATCACAAGCGCTGATGGTGGAATTGTAGCTGATGACATCAGCTTCCACCTTTGCTTTTCTCATGCTGTCGAACAGCTGCATGGCCAGCTGCCACTGCCCAGCCTTCTCACAAGCACTGATGGTGGAATTGTAGCTGATGACATCAGCTTCCACCTTTGCTCTCCACATGCTGTCGAGCAGCTGCATGGCCAGCTGCCACTGCCCAGCCTTCTGACAAGCGCTGACGGTGGCGCTATAGCTGATGGTATCGGCTTCCACCTTGGCTTTGTGCGTGATGTCCAACAGAAACATGGCTAGCTGCCACTGCCCACCCTTCTCACAAGCACTGATGGTGGAATTGTAGCTGATCACATTGGCTTCCACCTTTGCTTTCCTCATGCTGTCGAACAGCTGCATGGCCAGCTGCCACTGCCGAGCCTTCTCACAAGAGCTGATAGTGGAACTGTGGATGATGACATCAGCAGTCACCCTGGCATGGCACATGCTGTCGAACAGGTTCATGGCTGGCTGCCACTGCCCTCCCCTCTCACAAGCACTGATGGTGGCACTATAGCTGATGGTATCGGCTTCCATCTTGGCTTTGTGCATGATGTCCAACAGATGCATGGCTAGCTGCCACTGCCCACCCTTCTCACAAGCACTGATGGTGGAATTGTAGCTAATGACATCAGCTTCCACCTTTGCTTTCCTCATGCTGTCGAGCAGCTGCATGGCCAGCTGCCACTGCCCAGCCTTCTCACAAGCGCTGATGGTGGCGCTGTAGCTGATGGCATCGGCATCCACCTTGGCTTTGCGCATACCTTCCAACAGATGCATGGCCAGCTGCCACTGCCCACCCTTCTCACACGCGCTGATGGTGGAATTGTAGCTGATGCCATCAGCAGCCACCCTGGCATTGCACATGCTGCCAAACAGATGCACTGCTAGCTGCCACTGCCCAACCTTCTCACAAGAGCTGATGGTGCAACTATGGCTGATGATATCAACCGTCACCCTGGCATTGTACGTGCTGTCGAGCAGAAAAATTGTGGCCAGCTGCCACTGCCCCCCCCTCTCACAAGCGCTGATGGTGGAATTGTAGCTGATGACATCAGCTTCCACATTTGCTTGCCTCATGCTGTCGAACAGCTGCATGGCCAGCTGCCACTGCCCAGCTTTCTCACAAGCGCTGATGGTGGAACTGTGGATGATGACATCAGCAGTCACCCTGGCATTGCACATGCTGCCGAGCAGATGCATGGCTAGCTGCCACTGCCCACCCTTCTTACAAGCGCTGATGGTGGAATTGTAGCTGATGACATCAGCAGTCACCCTAGCATTGCACATGCTGCCGAACAGCTGCATGGCCAGCTGCCACTGCCCACCCTTCTCACACGCGCTGATGGTGGAATTGTAGCTGATGACATCGGCTTCCACCTTGGCTTTGTGCATGCTGTCCAACAGATGCACGGCTAGCTGCCACTGCCCACCCTTCTCGCAAGCGCTGATGGTGGCATTGTGACAGTAAGCATCAGCAGCAACTCTGGCCTCGCGCATGCGGTCGAACAGATGCATGGCCAACTGCCAGTCTCTCGCCCTTGCACAGGCACTGATATGCGTGGTCACGTCTCTTACTGTTGCACCACCGGCTTCGAGAGTCTCTGAAAATATGATACTAACCAGGTCGAATCGCTTTAGCGCCTTGAGCTCTCGCATCGTCGAGCGGAGGGTTTTGTGATCCAGTCGGTGCCGGGCCAGAACCTGGTATACATCTTCTGGAGAAGCTCGTGGCTTGAGCTTCAGCAGTTGCTCTATGACACTGGGTGGAGTGTCCCGGGCGCTACTCGCAGCCGCAACCGTGGGGAATGAAGGGATGCCCATGATTGCCAGCTTCTCCTTAAGAGCCGTCTAGGCTAGTGCTCTTGGATGTTGTATAACTGTTATAACTGTATAATCCCTCATGCAACGCAGCTATGGTATAGCAGCCCAGTAAGTAGCCACGCCTGTAGGGTATGCCATGACTTGCAGGAGCTTGTCTAACTGCGATTGCCGAACATTGGGCACTGCCGCACTGCTTGTAACACTGGGTCGCAGTGGATGCACATGCCTGCCGCATCGATCGGTCAAACAAAAACCAGCCAAATCTCTTTGAAACCCTACCTGGGCCCTAAACAACCTACCCTTCTAGGGCTCCTTACTACGAAATACTTATATACGAGAGGTTCTTAAGGCTCTAGGTAAATCCTCAACCCCTAAACCCTCTTCGGGTTTAAGGCTTAGGGTTTAGGGCTTATAAGCCCCTGAACCCTAAACTCTGTTTTCATGTTGGGGCGGGCTTTCGGAGTACGATCCTCCCTGAAAACCCCGAAGCCTGAAGACCGACATGACCTCAGTCAAAGATTTGGGGGTTTGGGTTTAGGGTGTAGAGTTTAGGGCTCAGGGCTTCTATGGTTTAGGGTTTAGGGTGTAGGGATTAAGGTTTAGGGTTAATTGGTTTAGGGTCTGGGGTTTAGAGCTTCGAAGTAAGTAACCACGGAGCAAAAAAGTATAAACCTGTGTTTCATAATGGCTTATGTAAGGAACAGGTCCCCAAAAAGCATTCAAGCGTGGTACTGCAGAACCCAGTGGTCTGGCAGCTTATACAAAGACTCCACTCCAAGACAGCTGACCTGACGAGGGTTTAGGGCTTAGGGTTTAGGGCTTTGGGGTTTAGGGACAACCTAAATGTAGGAGGATCCTGAGAAAGGTCTAACATAGGGGCCTTAACAATGAGAATCGAATTCTGGGGCCCGTTATACTATAATTACATTGCGAAAAGGAGCCCCCCTAAACCCAAAACCCATTATACTATAATTGCATTACAAAAAGGAACCCCCCCCAAACCCTAAACCCGAAACCCATTATACTATAATTGCATTACAAAAGGAACCCCCCCAAAACCCTGAACCTTAGACCCATTATACTATAATTACACTACAAAAAGGAACCCCCCAACAAAAATAGTATTGGTGATTCTTGAGGCCCCTACATCAAGGGGCCTCGAATCTCTGGCTATTATCCCACCTCCCGGGGAGCCCACAGGCAGAGGTTTGGGGTTTAGGGTTTAGGGGTTCGGGTTTTGGGGCTTAGGGATTAGGGTTTAGGGGTTTAGGGCATAGCAGGAAACCCTCTTTGGGATGAAGCTTCTTGTGATGTCTTACGCGGCCTTTCGGCACCATAGAAGTGCTCCCTCAACCCTAAGCCCTTCACCCTAAGCCCTAAACTCTAAACACAAAGCCTTAAGGCCCTAAGCCCTAAACCCAATCGGCCCTGAACCCTATAGGCCCTAAACCCAAAGACCTAACGCCTAAACCCTATAACCCCTAAACCCTGTACACCCTAGACTCTTTAGGCCCGAAGCCATATAAGCCCAAAGCCCTGAAACGAAAACCGAAAACCCTGGCTCGGCTCGGCGCGTCGTTCGGCATACGCGCAAGCAGTGATGGCGGACTGAAAGGTGATCCTGAGCTCCGTAGGGTTTGGTTTGGGGTTTGGGGTTTGGGATTTAGGGTTTAGGGGTTTAGGGATTAGGGTTTAGGGTTTAGGGTTTTGAAGTTTAGCGTTTAGGGTTTAGGGTTTAAGGTTCAGGCCCAAAGTAATCCACTACCTTGAGGGGATGTAGGGTTATGGCTTTAGGGCTTTAGGATTTGACCCTTCTGGGGTTCAGGTACAGGAAGTCGACCCGCTAAATGAACCCTAAACCCTAAACCCTAAACCCTAAACCCTAAATGAGGTATATTACAGTATAGATTTCTACTACCGGAATCTCAAGCCGTAAGGAATAGTATTACTCAGTATTCAGGCTTCTATAGTACTAGAAGCCAAGAGACCGTGATATGCGTCTTAAAGAATCTGGGATCCTAAACAAGAGTTCTGTGACAATTACGGCCTTTTCCTCCTTTGACAGTCTCACATATCGACCCTGATTGAAAGGATCCCAACTATGAGGGACTTGTGGATTGAGGAATGAAGGAAATAAGCGGAACCTCTCACGGTTTCAGCGGATTTCCCCATTTGCCCTTTCCACATTTCATATTCCTGATCTTCAAAGATCCCTTCATTAAGGATAATACCTGATTAGGGATCGTTCTGTTATTAAGGCATAGATTCCGTAAGCAAGAGACACTGGAAGATCTGGGCCCAAAACTTCAAAACCCTAAACCATCCTAAACCGTTGTAGGAACTTGTTTATAAATCCCCTAAACCCTAAACCCTAAAACCCCAAACCCCAAAACTCTGAACCCCTGAGCCCTTACCCTAAGGGTCCCAAGGACCTAATAATGAGGTACTTGGTTACGGATAGTAGTTTTGTAGGTTAGTATTTGGGAGAGGATATGATTATTAGGCACTTGGACCCTTAGGGTTAACCGCCCTGACCCCAAACCCCTACACCCCAAACACCTAAACCCTAAACCCTAAAACCCCGAAACCCCATCCCAAACACCTAAACCCTAAACCCTAAACCCTAAAACCCCTAAAACCCCTACACCCTAAACACCTAAACCCTAAACCCTAAAACCCCTAAACCCCTACACCCTAAACCCTAAACCCTAAACCCTAAAACCCCTAAACCCCTACACCCTAAACACCTAAACCCTAAACCCTAAAACCCCTAAACCCCCACACCCTAAACACCTAAACCCCTATAGAGACTCATAAAGGCCCCTGATTCCAGAGAGCCGTGCGCAGAAGCCAAGAGGGGCGTTTCAGATAGAGGGCTCCGAGAGGTTAAGGGTTAAGGGTTTAGGGTTTAGGGTTTAGGGTTTAGGGTTCAGGTTAAGGTCCAAATCTTTTAGGGTTTGGGGTTAGGGCGGTTAGGGTTTAGGGTTTAGGGTTTAAGGGTTTAGGGTTTAGGGTTTAGGGCCCACCGCCGACCATCCTAATCATGGTTCTCGGGGCCTCAACTCCGTAATCGCCGTATATTTGGACCCTCTGGCTTAACTGAAAGGCACTATAAGGGCTCCTTTGAAGCATAGGTTTAGAATGTGGGGTCTCTAGGGTTTAGGGTTTAGGGTTTAACTTCAGCAAGATGATGTGGGC